AATACGTAATACGAAAGGAAAAGCACCTCTTTTGTATGTTGTAGGCTGGCTGTGTGTAGTGTGTGTGTACCATTAGTGTTTGTTAGCTGTGTGTAGTGTGTGGTAATGGTAATCTGTTTATTACCATACTGGTACTTATTCCCTCCCTTCCTGCTTACCTGTCTGACGTAAGCAGATCAGTAGGGGCTAAAAATCCCTGGTGGTCTGACTGGATTGGGGGGTACAGTAGTTTATTATTAGGGCATGCCTCCTCTGTTTGCAGTCTTTAGTGACATCACCCGCGCGGTTCGGCACTCAGTGTGTCAAATCAAGGCATTTCTTTTTTGGCAGCCACCGCAACCCAGTGCTGCCACTCCAGATGGCCGCAGAGGGAGGTGTAGAGCCCGCGGTGCACTGCGCAATGCCTCCCTGGCCACCCACCCCTGGCCACCCACTGAGAGCTGCACCCAACCCCTCTCAGATCGCCCCAGGACCAGCAAGTGCAGAAGACGCAGCCTCTCCTCTGGCTCTCCGCAGGAGAAACTTTGGCACGGAGGGGCAGCTCCCTCCCCTGAGGGCTGCACTGCGCCCTTGGGAGCACAGGAGAGTCCGGAGAGTGCTGAGTTCTCCAGCACTCAGTGTCAGAGCAAAGCGCAAAGAGCAAATCCACAGCAGCTCCTCAGTTTGCTAAAAGGGGGGTGGGGCAGGAACCCACGCACCACCCATTCCCCAGGCCTCTGACTTTGCAAACCAGCTGCTGTCCCAAGCATGCTGCGCCTGGAGGAGGAAGAGTTAAGCGCCGGTGTGTGCGTGTGTGCATATGTGTGTGCGCGCGCGTTTGTGCAGTTTTTATTCCTCCCCGCTCCGTGATTTTGAGAGACTCCCAAAAGTGGAGGAGAAATGGGCTTGGAACAAGAAAGCCAGGAGCTCCCAGGCAGAGCGAGGCACCTCCCTCCACACTGAGCCTCTGACTTTGCCTGGGCTGAGGGACCATGCAGTCTGGAGAGGTGAGTGTTGCATGTGTGTATGTGTGTGTGCATGAGTGCGCGTTTGTGTGGTTTTTAATCCCCGCCCCCCCCCCCCCCCCCCCCCCCCC